TAGGATAAATATATGCTATATTACACATTCATTCATTCATTGCAATAACTGTATGGCCACCCATATTAGAAGCGCAGCTCTTAAAATTGTACCAGTGGTGAGATTATTATTTTTTTATTACTGGTTCTGCGGGCGTAGCTTTGTGGGCATGCTTTGTGGGCGTAGCAGGGGAAGGTTACTGCAAAATCCCCATTCCCTCCCCACCCCACTAACCTGCTTTCCAGTTCTGTTCTCCTGTTCAGGGCAACAAAAGAGGATCCGCTGGAAAGCAGCAGGGGCGGGCCCAGCCTATTTGCCAATTCTCCAAACTACTCAAAATTTCCGTTACCGGTTCTTCAGAACTGTCTGAATACCACCTCTGGATTGTACATCTGGTGTGGCACCCAGTTTGATTTGAAGATGGGTAGCTACACAAATGTTTTAAATGTAATAAAAATAATGAAAGAATCAAAGAAATAAACTCTAAGTGATTCACAACAGGTATATGAACCCAAACATAATAAAACAATGAAAGAAAAATATTGCACCTAAAATAAAAGCAGAAACAAAAATCTGGTAGCACATCTATCTTTTTCGATGCAACCTACACCTTATCTTTCAGCTCTTATTTTACCTTATTCCAGTGCTTGGGAGAAGACCAAATCGGTCTATCCAATCATCTCATGGAGACTTGTTAAGATGGTAGTGATCACTCTCCTCTGGATCAAAATGACCCCAGCAAAGGGTTGACTCCAAGACTATTTGAGAGAAGCCCCATTATTACCATTGTGGCCATGAACTTCTGATCCTACCTAGATTGCAGTCATGAGACTGAAGTCACTCGACAGCAGGCCATAAAAGAATGCCAACAATCTGGTGATAAGATCCAATAATCTTACCAATGGATTGTATTCAAGAATTACCACGTCAGCCCAATTTAATACACAGGCACATCTGTGATCTCAGAGCCCGCTTACTCCTATATCAGTGTACTTTATCAATCAACTCAAAATAGATAGCTAGGCAATTCCAAGTTTGGGCTATAAACTTTCTGATAACAGCTGATAATCAAATGAGTAATCAGCCAGAGCACTATGATTTGCCTTGAAATCTGTGTCATCAGCAGGAGAAAAGCAGAGTAGGAGATTACTTGCAAAAGTCCAGGGTTCAAGCATTACAGAACTCCACAAGCCTGCCCAAATGTCAAGTTGAAGGTCCAGATGCAAGGCAAGAAGCAAGAGAGTCACACAGATCTGAAGTTAGAGAGTTGTTTCCGGTAGAGGAACAAAAACCTGAGGATTTCTCTATGTAGTTTAAGATGCCGTGTTGCCTATTAAGACGTATTGCGTTTCCATCTTTTCAGCGAGACATGCTGAGTACTTTTGCTCAGCCCTTCATAGCTGATGGTTTGGGCTAGGATGCCCTGATAGAGGATCAGATCCGTGCTTATTAGAATAAGATTTCTCAGGTTCAATGTCTCCTGTAGTGGCTGCTAGTGTCTGATTGCCTTCTGACTCTTCAGGTTGTTCCTCTCTCCGGTGTATTTCTCCAGCCTCTAACTCACAAAATTCAGACAAGCCCATTATAGTAAAATGTCTTTGAAAATCATTATTCTCTCCCCCGGGACTTGAAGTTGAGGTTGCTAAAAGATGTAAAACCCACTGGAGGAAAATCTCCAAGTGGGTAACATCACTACCATCATCCAGCCAGGTCTAGATGAAACCTGATACCTACTAGGTCTATTTGCTCATCTACAATCAAGTCATGAGTGACTGAGGGCTTATTAGCAATAGCACTTAGAATTATATACCACCCCATACAACTTTACAGCACTCTCTGGATGGTTTACAATGTCAATATATTACCTCCAATGATCTGGGTCTTCATTTTACTGATCTTGGAAGGATGGAAGGCTCAAGTCAACTTTTGAGCCTGATCAGGATTGAACTCCAGGATGTGGCCAGAGTTTGCCCGCAAACTTGCATTCTCACCACTGTGCCACCATGGGCTTTTTTAGAAATAGCCTTGATGTTTATAATCAGCAACTCAAGGGCAGAGTTATTAATGACTCAGTCACCAATACCCAAGCTGGGACAGCTAGACCAGAAGTGGAAATACACTTCTAGCACATTTAGAGTCCCTTTTTTGTATCTAACTTTTTCCCTTTTGTAATCCACATCCCTCTGAATACTGTTGGTCAATGGCTCTGAGTAGCTATCACAGGGGGATTTAGCTGAAGCACAGCTGCAATGGGACAGCCCTGGAGCTTCAGGTAAGGAAAACACACAGCTGCAGCCGGTCAATGATGAGGAACTGCCTTCTGCACCTAATCCCAGAACATGTAGAACACAAAAAAGGCAGGAGCAGAGGGGGGGTCAACCTGATTACTTGTGAGGAGGCAGCCTTGTCCCTCTTGACGGGCTGCATGTGAACCTCGCTATTTAGCACAGCAGATGGATGGAGGCAATGCTGGGAACAATGTNTATGTATAATCCAAAGGGATTGCTAATCTTCCTTACATGGGTACCATTCAATATTCATATCCAATTATACTCATCATAACACTACACATTGTATAGAAAAATGTATGTTTTAAGGAATCACTAACACTCATACATTTCTGCTCCAGTTCCATAGCCAAATGTTTAATTTACATTTAGAACCAAAATATAATTTAATGCATTGCCAATCTGTATGCAGTTCAGAGACTTTTATCCTCTCTGCGGGATATAGAATAGCAGTGTTTGGACTTATACAACACATAAGCCAAAACCAAACAAGCCAGTTTAAGGTGTAACATATTGATTCATCAGACTGCTTAGCCAAGAGATTTGTACAGCTCTAATCCAAATAGAAAGCTTAATGGAGGACTGGAAATGAAAGAAAGACAGGTGAAATACCAAAGAATAGAAAAGTAGTGAAAACGACCTAGGTATCATACATGTTTTAAAACTGTGAGAGGGCAACAAAAATAATGGGTGAGCACAGATATATCAAAATGATAATTTGGCTAGATAATTGAGGTCCATATTTGCTCACTCTTTGCCCTTAAAATACTCCTATTTCCTCTCTCATGTTTCAAATTCTTATTCCAATATAATGTTTAAGTTGATTTGATATCAAGAATGAGGAGGAAGAATTTGCAACAGATGACACTGAAAAAACGAAACATAGTACAGGTAGCCCTCAACGTACAAGCACAACTGTGCCCAACGTATCTGTTGCTAAATGAGACATTTGTTATGTGAGTTTTGCTCCATTTTATGACCTTCCTTGAAACAATTGTTAAGCAAATCACTGCAGATGTTCAGTTGGAAACCCAGCTAGTTGTTAAGTGAATCTGGCTTCCCCATTGATTTTGCTTGTCAGAATGTTGCCAAAGGTGATCACATGACTCCGGGACACTGCAACCCTCGTAAATATGAGTCAGTTGAGAAGCGTTTGAATTTTGATCATGTGACCATGGGGGTGCTGCAACAGTTGTTAAGTGTGAAAAGTGGTCATAAGTCACTTTTTTCAGTACTGTTGTAATTTTTGAATAGTCATTAAATGGACTGTTGTAAGTCAAGGACTATCGGTGAACACTTGGCTCCAGCGATACTGTCTGCCTTGTAGATGGCCTTGTGGAAACATAGAATCTCAATAATAAAATGGATTTCAAGCAGTTTTGACCAAATTAAATCCCTCCCATCTATGCCTATGTTCATCAGCCACTATCCTCAACTTCAACTCACAATCATATACAAATATATAGATACAGTGCAAAGATTCATTTCAGGTCCAATATACTCAGTGGTGGGATTCAAAAAATTTTACTACTGGTTCTGTGGGCGTGACTTGGAGGGCATGGCAGGGGAAGGATACTGTAAAATCTTCATTTTCTNCCTATAAGGCAGTGGCCCCCAAGCTTTTGGACACCTGTGATCAATTCCGTGAAGAAAGGTTTTTCCATGAATTGGGTGGGGGGAGATGTGGTTTTGCATGCCACCTGCACCCAAAGATGGAATTTCGCTTGTTTGCATGGCCTGGTTGCTGGCATGCTGTGAACCGGTGTCAGTCCATGGACTGGGGGTTGGGGACCTCTGCTGTAAGGTATCTTTTCACTGAGTGTATATCTTACCTGGAGATGTGAGAGAGAATCTTCACATCCTAATTGAGGTCTAATTGAGGACTTTCTTCATGCTGGCACCAAGGCTGGTACCAAAAGTGGTTTCGTTCAAGGTGAGGCCTGACAAGTTCTGGAGTCTTACTTAATGTAGCTTGAACTTTTTATACTCCCTCCCCCCCTTCAGTTAGGCATAAAGATAGATATGTGGTTTTTCTGTGTCCATTAGTGAATGACTTCGTAAGACCATCATGGGTGTGGTTCTCTTGCCAGCCAACAAACTTTCTCAATACTGTATGTGTCCTTAGCAGAATCGGTTCTCATGAGAAACAGATGCAATACATCACATAGATTCCCGCCAACCTCTCCCTTTCCCGAAGATTTAAAAAAAAAACAGTTTTGTCTCTTTTAAAATGAGCTATATGCTTTTGGAAAGATGCTGGAAAATAAGTGGGCTGTGCCATCTCATACATGTCCAGGAATCTATGGGAAAGTTCAGATAAATAGAAAAGCAGGAGGGAAGAGGGCATTTATTAAATGAATATTTTATTTCTGTAGAAATAGTTAGCACATCTAATGAGGAATTTATATTGAGTTTTTGATCTGCTTAAATCTAAGATTCATTAACCCTGTCTAAAAGTTATGAAGGTATATTTTAAGGTTAGCCTTGAATCCTATTATAGCATGGATCTAAATATTTTCGGTGCCTTTGTGTCAGTGTTGAGACCTAGTGACTGCCTGAACAGATCCCTGGAGTTTTCTTGGCAATATTTCACAGTAACTGCCTGCCTCTTTACTGGGACTGTGGGATGGATAAATCCTGTTTCTAGCAGTTGTCTACCAATTTGTGGTCTATTCAGAGTATTTTGTTGCCTGTTGCATTTTCTTTTTTAATCAGTGTGCTCTTCCCACATAACCTGAATGGTTGTGTGATTTCTCTTCTTCAAAATTGAATATTTGCATTTCAAAATGTAAAGAATTACATTTATATTTCCTGTTTTAAAAAATAACATTAGATTTCATGTATTTCTTGTGGTATTGATCTATCTCTTGAAAGAGGTGGCCATGAAGAGAAGAGTTTATTCCTCTAGCCACACATCTTGTTGCTGTTTGGCTAGGAGGTGGCCCATTAATTATTTCACTTTTTGTTTTATCTTTCTCCAGAAATGAAAGCCCTCTTTCTTGGAAACATTTGTGGCTATTGGAAGGCAACCGTAGGGTAGGTAAGCAGAAGCTACCTACCAGTAGGTACTACTCCAAAGCAGGAGACAGGATCAGAGTATAAAGATAATAAAACATATTAAAAAAAACCTTGAAAATGCAGCGCATGACCTTTTGGTAGCTCACATGTCACACAAATAATTGTTACATTAGCAATTTCACAGCTCACCTGCCGAGATTCCTCCACATACATGGGCATGTCTGGCCACAAACAATTCCTAAAAAATAAAATTAAAAAGTGAAGTAAGATCCTGGGGAAAGTAAATAATTCTCTAAATGCTCATATCAAAATGAGCTGTAAACAAACCTCTTGGGAGCATCCAGGACACACCAAGGAATTGGATCAATTTAAAACTGCTGCCAGCACAAAAATTAGCTCTTTCACTATCTGTGGATTGTACTGTATGTTATAAAAGGCCACTTAGTGTTCCTTGTTTAGTACAAGCTTTTGACTTTAGTAGCTGGGAGTACACTAAGAGAGACAATGTGACTTATCTCTTCCCATATAAAGGTAATGGCTTTTCAAGCTCACCTTTTAAAAGCAGCCACTGGTAGGATGATTATTCCAGTATCAAATAACTGTCTTAAATTAGCTAGGTTACCAGATGTGGAGCTGGAAAACCTTTTATTTATATTTAAAATATATACATTTATTTATAATATAAAGTGTGAAAAAAGTAAGGAAATCAAAGAGAAATCTAATGGTTTNTTGCAGCTTTGCCATGTCAATGTGATCAAAATCAGGTACTTGGGAACTAGTATTTATTTACAATGGTTGCAATGTCCTGGGGTCAAGTGATCATTATTTGAAAGCTTCCCAGCCAACTTCCCACAAGCAAAGACAATGGGAGAAGCCAGATTCACTTAACAACCATGTCACAATTGTACTACTTCATTTAATAACCACGACAAAGAGGCCATAAAATCTGATGTGATTCACTTAACAAAACACCTTACTTAGCAATGTAATAAAATAACAAGAAAAAAATGAGAGATATTAGCAAAATGTACATAAGAACAAATTTATATTGAAGCAAATTTGAAACTGATATGCATTCTAAAAGTGTTCCTTCATACTTTAATGTAATAAAATCAAATTTGCTAAGTCTGATCATTTATAATCAATAATCAAATGGAGTGATTATTTCTTCAAAGTATTGCTCTGTGAAGTAGGTTAGATATTCTGCTAAATATAATTCAAACCAAATATATAAAATAGAAACAAAAACAGAAATTAAGGACAGAAAATAATATTGAATGAACATAGAAATGAAGCCCATGAAGATGGCTAATTAGATGAACTGAAAGCTATTCCAAAACCCAATCATTGCTTATGAATATAAATTTTCTGAAATTTGGCATCAAGACAACCTGAATTGTGATCTTTGTAATGGCTTCACTTGTATTTATTTACATTTTGTTTGCTTATTTTTCTTGTGTTATGAGAAATTAGAAGGATTTAGAAACATTCACTTTCTGAGATTTCAGCAGCCATTATTCACGGAAGGATGTTTGAGTACAAAGGCTTCAGATGTTAATGTTTAGCGTTTTTGCCATTATAGACAGCCTGTGTTCCATAAAAGATATTATGGAAGAGGAAAAAGAGAGAGATCGATTTCAAGGTGTATTTAAAAATAGTAGGCTATAAAAATGATAAGGAAAAAGATGTTACACTGGATATACAAATGAAACCATCTGATGTCTTAATAATTAAAAGGGGTATAAAAATAACAAACCAAAAGAGCAATCTGGATAACTTTCCCAAATTGGATTTACGAAAGGGACTTGTTAATATTTTGAAGATTTGTGAGAAGAAATGTGATGAAGGGAGAAGCCATTTTTCCCAAAATTTATGTGGTTAAGTGAGAAATTTGTTAAATGAGTTTTGCCCCATTTTATGACTTCTCACCACCT